TCTGAGAGCTGTCTGACCCTCCCATAGACAGCAACACAACTGAAATGTTCCCAATTCCAGAGACGTAGCAAGGACATCTGTAAAATAATCCATGTGACATCAGGTGTTCAACCGTAATTTTACGAAGCTACGAGAATACTTTTTGTGTGCAAAAGAAAAAACCCCCCACTTTATTCAACAATTCATCTCCTCCACGTCACCTTGTAGTGCCATTTTGGAGAGTATCAGCTGGACGTAAAACAACGTATGCTGTTCTGTGTCAGCTACGTCACATCGGATACGCTGTTTTAGTTCAAATCAAATAACAAACAACGTAGGAAACAGATCCGGCGTGACGCAGCTGACACAGAACAGCATACACCGTTTACGTCCAGTGTATATTCTCCAAAATGTCGCTACAGGGTGACGCGGAGGAGACGAATTGTTGAATAAAGTCGTTATTTTTTTTTCTTTTGCGCACAAAAAGTATTCTCGTAGCTTCGTATAATTGCGGTTGAACCACTGATGTCACATGGATTATTTTACAGATCTCCTTGCTACGTTTCTGGACTTGGGAACATTTCAGTTGTGTTGCTGTCTATGCAGGGTCAGACAGCTCTCAGATTCCATCAAAAATATCTTAATTTGTGTTCCGAAGATGAACGAAGGTCTTACGGGTTTGAAACGACATGAGGGTGAGTAAATAATGACAGAATTTTCATTTTTGGGTGAACTAACCCTTTAAGCCATCTGCCATTGAGTTGCCTGTTTGCCAATGCTATAAATTATATTATTTATAAAACTATACAATTTTTTTATGATTTTTAATGAAGTTCTAAGCTTGTCAGATTTTTACCAAAAGGACAGAACATTAAACACTATTTGTATCATCTAATATATATACAATAATCATATTTCTTCTATTATCAACAATAATAAATATCTCGTGTTGTCAACTAAGTTACTAATACAACACCCCCATGTAACTGAGCAATAGTTTGTCCCAAAACCATCTGACCTGTATCACATGATTGTATTGCCTTTCAGTGACAGACATTTTGAAAACAAACTGGTAAGTGGATTATATTGTTATTATACAAAAATGCCATGTGTCTGATCAAAATAAGACGAGTATGTTAGCTGCTATCTGTCAACTATGTTACCCAGCAATGTTCATCAGTATAATTTTTATATTTAAGCCTGTTTGTATGTTGTGGTTTATATATAACTATACTTGTAATAGTTTAACTATAGCTTGCACTACTGTTCATAGTGGGGTCTGTAAGATTTGTGAAATATTATTGGAATTAACAGAAAAAGTTTTCTATTTCAGTATATTTAAAAATGTAATTTTTTTCCTGTGATGGTAAAGCTGAATTTTCAGTATCAATACTGGAGTCTTCAGTATCACATGATCCTTCAGAAATAATTCTAATATTTGCAGCTCAAGAAACACATTCTTATTGTTATTATTTATCAGTGTTGAAAACAGTCGTGCTGCTTAATACTGTTATAGATTTTATATGAGTAGAAACTTCAATGAACAGCATTTATTTGAAATGGAATTATTTTGTATCATTATAAATGCCACTTTGATCAATTTAATGCATCCTTGTTGAATAAAAGTATAATTTTTTTTTTCAAAACCAAAAATCTTACTGACCCCAAATTTGGCAAGGTTTCTCCAAATATAGCCTACATGATCCATTATTATAAAACAGTAAGTACATAATCATCACTTTCCATGATTTCTGTAGATGTCAGCAGCAGAGAAACAGCGAAGATACCGGGCTCGACGCGATGCTGATCCCTCAAGAAGGGCACAATATTTAGAAAAGCAAAGAGAGGCCTGGTACAGACTAATAAGACATGGAAAAGTGAAACCAGTCGCAGAGTTGAGTGAGAGCGAGAAACAAAGCAAGAGAGACCAATGGAGAAAAGCACAACAGAGAAGAAGACAAAGAAAACGAATGCTAGACATGATTAGTACAAAAGACAGCAATGAATTTGAGCAGCTACCTACAGAATCAAGGTAGAAAGCCTGGAAGCCTTTTTTCTCGCAATTTCGACTTTACATCTCGCAATTATAACTTTTTTTTCTCCGAATTGTGAGATACAACATCGAAATTCTGACTTTTTTTTTTCTCTCAGAATTGCGATACAAACTCAGTATTTTTTGTTTTAAAATGATTAAAAGTGATTATTAAAAAAAAAAAAATCTAATTAATTACCTAATGTGCCTAATCCTAATGGTTCTAATACCTAAACCTAATGTAATTAATCAAATTATTAATTATTTAACATGCACATCATGCTGATTAATTAAAGATAAAGTTATTATAGATAATGGTTATCATTGTGTTAATTTAGAAAAAAAAAACGATGAATAGACATTACAAAAAAGTAGCTTTAGAAAGAAATATTTTAATTCAACATACAAAAATACAAATAAATAGTAAAATATGAAATTATTTAAAAAAAGAAATGATAGGCCTACTCTAAATATAAAACTAAAAGCGCCAGTAGGTGGTGGCAAATCCCTGTCTTTATAAGTGAGTCATTCTCATTCATTCAATCGATTCGTTCAAACTGCTGATACCTGATACATTCAGAAACGAAGCAAGTGACTGCCTTATGAATGGCTCACTGAATCATTTCGATTCGTTTAAAAACGTGGATTCATTAATGAAACACCCCTGTGTGTTGATCAGAGACGGCACAACAGTTCTCCTAGGGCTTTATTTTCGTTGGTGCACAGAATTGTGATATAAACTTGCAATTGTGAGTTATTAAGTCTGAATTGGGAGTTATAAACTCGCAATTCTGAGAACATATAGTCTTTTTTCCTCCTCAGAACTGGATTTTATAACTCGCAATTGCTAAGCCTATCTCACAATTCTGAGAAAAAAGTCAGAATTGCGAGAAACAAACACGTAATAGCGAGAAAAAAAAGTCAGAATTGTGAGATAAACAGTCGCACTTACCTTTTTAATTTTTTTATTCAGTGACGGAAACGGGCTTCCATAGAAAGCGGTTTAAGTTATGATGTTTATAAAATGAAAAAGTTTGGATAATCAATAATGTGTCAGCTATGCCACTCACATAATTTAATGTGTCTCACATCATTAAATTAAAATTACTACTCTCATTGACTGTTGTGTTTGGAGCCACCGTGTGTGTGTGTGTGTGAGAGAGAGTGTGACTGTATCAGTCATCATCATAGACTGGTCATCATTAGACACACGCAAGGGCGCGCACAAGCTTCTGTACACAAGACTCTCGGAGGATAATCTCTAGACAGGTACTTCGCTAAAGGCTGAACTGATTCATTCAAGGCCTTTAGCGTTTTAGACTCCGAAGGCTGACTGGCACTGATACCCTACTGGTATTGAGATCTTGTATAGGAAGCCACTTAAAAGTTCGGTAAAAAAAAAAAAAAAAGTTTATTTTTGTAGTGTTTTATTTTATCATTAGTAAACGCGTCGAGTAAATCTAAGAAAGTACTCGGAACCTCATTTTTTTTCTCTGTTCATCTGGGTAAGTCGTGTTTCGAAACTTTTAAGATATCCTTTTTGTTTCGGTACTGTTGTCGTTAACTTGCTTTCTTTTAGTCTTTTGATGTAAGTTAGCGGATTGGCAACGTTACATCTGCTCTCTTCCGCTATCTCGCCTTTCCAGTTGAACGAAGTGTAACTTAAAAGTATACAGTTTATTATTTTTTGTTTTGTTAGTCTTGTAGTTTGGAGATAATATCCATATAGACAATAGTGTAATATTAGCCTGTATGCTAAAGCTGTATTTTGTCACAAATGGAACAAAAGCAACAGGTGACTGAAGACTTCAACTAAGCTAAAACAACCAAAACATGTTTTAGAATAATAATTAACGTTACGTTATTACTATTCGTAATGGATTGGATTCAAGGATTTACAGAAAAAAAATTTCATTACTTTATAATAATTCGATTATTAGGCGCTAAAAATACAATTGTAGCTAGCCTGTTAGCTTGCTAGCTCAAGAGGCTGTCTTGGATGTCTGGTCAGTGTTTGTTGTTGTAGGTTATGATTAATTATTTGGGCCTTTTATGTGCACCCGAATCTGTCTGGCATGAATTTGAAAGAAAAACTAAAAGAAATCTGAAAGATAAGAGATATGCACTAACATCTGTTTGCTCCTGAGTGAAGTTTGTACAACAAATCACTGCAACATTTCTTCCTCTCATCATGAGTATGGAAATACTGTAAAACCTGTTCCTCCAGCCAGAGGAGAATAAGCCTCTTTCAATGTCAAGATAACAAAGGCAATTAATTCAATTAAGCTTCATTAACCTTCTAAATGAGCACTTGACATTGGTCCTATTAATTCCTGGTAACAACACTAATCTTAAATGCACTAGGTTTATATGTTGAAATTATGTTCTAAAACTGTGATACTATGTCGTATTGCATATAAACGAATTCTATCTGTCTGTCATCTGTTGTTTAGTCTTTTGGTCAGTATCTGTTGCTTTAATTGTACTGAATGAATTGTACTTGGTTTCTCAGGAGTCGAATGGCCTCTGTTGTTACAGTGAAGACAGAGAAGCGTCCTTCCCATGACTCTGAGGATGGCGACACAGTGGCTAAGAAGGCCAGGTATGAAAACAACAGATGTTCGTGTCTTGCTTTGCTGCCAGCACATTCCCAGGGCGAGCCAAATATTCTTCATTGAAGTCAGCTCCTGTTTGCTGACCTGTTCTGATGAACATGTGATCTTTCAAAGACCTGTACTTCCTGATAAGAATGACTTTGCCAGATAGGTTTTTCCTATTCTTTGAAAAAAATGATAGTCCACCCAAAAATGAAAATTCTGTCATCATTTACACACCCTCATGTCATTCCAAACCTGTATGACTTTCTTTCTTCTGAAGAAGACAAAACAAGATATTTTGAAGAAAGCTGGTAACCAGTTTTGGTTCCCATTGATTTCCATTGTACTTTTTGTCCATGCATTGGAAGTCAATGGGATTTGAAACCATTTTGTTACCAGCATTATTCAAAATATTTTCTTTTGTATTCCCCGTAAGAACACAAAAGAAGATATCTTCTTTTGTGTTTCCTTTACAGCGTAGAGGATTGAATGAAACCGATTTTGAAAGAATTAGAAATAATTATTTTAAACACATCAATACAAGTTACACAAACCAGGGGTTTTAATTACATTGACATATTCAACATTTAAGAAGTTTGCAAAAATCATCAACATCATAGAGAAGAAATAGGAAACAGCTAATGAGGTTGACTTTTTTTTCTTATAGTTAAGGACCTCCTTTTACTGATTGTTTGTTTAAAAGTTTCAGATCATATTTTTGAAGTCAGGTTAAGCCATGCTTTGCATGCAACTTTGTAGCATAGTTCTGTCCATATGCGTTTTTCCTCTGACCTGATTACATTTCCTCCTGCTCGGCTGACTAAAGGAAGTTGTTGCCCAGCCTGAAGACCAAGCGCGCCCCTGAGCTGGTGCTGGTGATCGGCACGGGGGTGAGTTCAGCCGTAGCTCCTCAGGTGCCTGCGCTGCGCTCCTGGAAAGGTCTGATCCAGGCGCTGCTAGATGCTGCCAATGACTTTGATCTGCTTGAGGAGGAAGAGAGCCGCCGCTTCCAGAAAAGTCTGCAAGAGGACAAGAACCTGGTGCATGTTGCTCATGACCTTATCCAGAAACTTTCACCGGTAAGATGTTTTTTTTTACATTTTCTTACCACTTTTGAAAGCACACTCTCTCTCTCTCGCTCTCTCTCTATCTATTTATCTCTCTCTCTCTGTCTCTCTCTCTCTCTCTCTATATATATATATATATATATTATTTATTAATTATTTTTTCACTTGTCAGTAAAGCCGGTTCTGTGATTAGTAGTAAATCTCCAGCACATGCTTTCAGATGGAGCGGCATTTACTACACAGAGCCGTAGTTCACTGACAAGCTACGCAATATCGCGTTCAAAATCGGCAATGATTTACTACTAATGACAGAACCGGCTTTACTGACGAGATGCGCATGAAAATCGCATTCGATTATTTGCACAGCCCTAGTGTCAATGGTACATTAACAAGCATGAATTTGGCAAAAGATATTAGAAATATTAACATTTAAACGGTGGATGTCATATAACTACATTTCATGGATACATACAAAATGCTCCTTTCTAGAGTTACATTTGTCTAGTTGACTATCAAGTTATAGACAGTGAATGGCTTTTTTGAGGTAAATGTAACTGTTACATAACATATAGTTTATAAACTGTTCAGTTGACATCTCGATTGAGCTATTACATGAAACACTTCAGTATGTTTTACTATTTCGTGCAGACGGTTTCCTCTTTTGTTTTTTTTATCCGCCATCTTATCTTTCTGTCGCTCGGCTAATGTCCGTCCGGTGCTCTGAGCGCTCTCTCCTCTCCTCCACGCCCCTTACTGCTGATTGGCTACAAGATTGTTTTGGTACTCGGCCCGTTCACGTGCCACTTGAACTGATGCGGCTACAGTGATCTGTTATGCCACATTTAAAAGTGTCGAAAACCACATTTATTGTTAGAATTTTGTTATAAAATTGACTGAAAGATGAGACTTTGTTTAAATACAGGATGTTATAATAAAGGATGTTATAATTTTATATTATAATGTTATTGTTGTTTTATTTCGTTATTTGATCTCAGTTTACAAAACAAAATATCATAATTTTAACATAATTTATAACAACTTTAACACGCGACTGACTTGCAGTTAACGCCGTGGCCCTGCGGCGGTAATAGGCATTTTGGTTGTCCACCTACTGTATTTCATGTATCCATATATTTTGTCATATATTTTTATATAATTTATTTTGTTCACACATCAACAGGAAACAGCGTCGACTAAAAGATGGATCTTAGGATTTAAGAATTCATATTGATTCATCAAAATGAAGATTGTTTAAAATTGATTTACAGTGTCCAGCCTCGGATTTTATGGTTGATATTATAAAGTAGCAGTAAATTTAAAATAAAGATCAATTTAAATTTAATAATAAAAAAGAACATTTAAAATATTTTACTAAACATACAATGTTTCAGTTTCTGTGATCAGTGAAAAGTTGGCAGGGCAAGGAAAAATCTTGAAGAAAAAAATTCTGTATTGTTGATCCCTAATAAACATGTGGATCATGAACACAATGCCAGGCAATGCATGGACTGAAGAGCACAACTATGAGTTTGTCCATCATTAGTCCCTTCCTCTCTCTCCTGCCAAAATGGGGCGTAGAACCACGTGCCACCAATGTTGTTGTTTTTGTCGCCCCGTCAAAACAGCACTCAGGGGTTTATCCCTGTTCTTCATTGTCAAGCCTCAGTATCATTTGCATCCAAACCCACCAGTGTCACTAGAGGATTTAGATGGCATTAGACTTGTGAAAGGGAGTTAGGTAATGAATTTCAGCTCTATTGCTGGGGTTTCGTTGCCTGGAATGGTCGTAGCTGAACAATTCACATCAACAAAATAACTTGCCTAGAAAAACATCAGCCTGCTGTCTGTCTCCACCCAGTGAATTTCCAAGCTCAGTTTGTTTGTTATTGTTAGTGTTAGGTCTTTCAGTGATTTAACCTACTTGTGAGAGTTTTGAGCCTTACATGAGCAGAGCAGTGGAGCAAAAAACTAGGCTAATCTGAACATGCGTCCAGGATTCACACCTCCAGAACAACGTGCTGTGACTAGATGCTAGTCCATTCAGCTTCAGCATTACATATTTATTTAGCTATGCATTCTTTGTAATGTTCGCAGCAAGTCAGTGGATGCCAGTCAAAATACATTTTGCGCTTTGACATGTTTGGGCATGAATATATAAGTCACGCTTGAGACTTTCAGACTGCTTTTTTGATTCAGACATCAATGTTATTGAGTTACAATGTTGATAAGCACAAAAAAGTCCAGACCCTTCTAAGAATTGATTGCATGTTCATCTCATTTCCGAATGCTTGTTGCTCAATGCTGTTATTTTTCATTGAGTACACAAATCAGGGCTCCAGAAAAAATAAAATAAAATAGATAAATAGACCTTAGTGAGTGTAGACACCATATTGAATTCGACACAAGATGAAATCAAGGCTGTAAGGGATAAACCTCTAATCTTTACAATGGCATGTATGGTAAAAAGGTTCTATATTATATGTAGTTTTCACAACTTTCAACTTTATTTTTTGTCTGTAGTGCATAAGTGCCATCAGAATGAGAGTCCAAATGGCTGATAAAAACATCACAATAATCCACAAGTAATCATTACCAGTCCATCAAATAATGTTTTGTGAAGTGAAAAGCTGCATGTTTGTAAGAAACTATTTTTTATTAGCTATTTCATTCTGATGGCACCCATTTACTGCAGAGGATCTATTGATAAGCAAGTGATGTAATGCTAAATAGATTTTGTTAAAAATATATTTTGCATATTAATATTTTTGGTCTCAAATGAACTGTTTTAGGTACAGTCTGGAGCCCTGCAAATGCAATTTTGAGTGGTTTGTTACAAAAATGTTTTGTACATCTTTTTCATCTGTATTTAATGCTGACCGCATATGATCAGACGCTGAGACCGAGGTTAATACCAGGTGTAAACAGTTGAAAGACATTTACACCTCTGAGATCAGAGGCATTAGTTCACATCAGGTGTGAAGGTGCTGATAATTAGCCGCTTCCTGAGAAAGTGGATTCTGCAAGCTATTCATAGCAGCACCTCTCTCTCTCTCGCGCTGTCTCTGGTTTTCCATGAGCCTCTGCCAAGCTCAGAGAATGAATTCAGCTCAGTGTAATGAGATTGAATCTGACCAGGACAAGGGCACTGCTGTCAAAACTCCTCTATTCTCAGCGCTCTCTCCACAATCTGTCACATACTCTGGAATCAAAAATTTTATGCAGAGTTTCTAATTACCTACAAATATAGCCTAAATATTTGACTGAAGTATTCTGTTTCTTATGAGGTTGCTATTATCGGGGTTGAAGTTTGCATTGGTGAACACCACCATGTGTAAAAATCAAGCCAATTTCATTGCCTACAAGATTAGCCTAAATATATGAATTAAGGTGCTTATTAATTTCCCTTGATGTGTTCCATGGAGAACATTTCAAGATCTTTGAAGAAGATAATGCTTATTTTCCCCTCTAAAAGCCTGCTTTGGTTGACTCCAGTAATTGCATTCCCAGAAAGCTGAATTTTCTGCATCATTACTCCAGTCTTCTTCAGAATTCATTCAATATCAATATAAAACATATAAACATATCAATATAAAACACTTCAAAATTGTAATGTTTGTTGGCAGGTCATCGGGACCTGAACGTCCATCAGCAATGTGATGTCATATAGCGCACGATTATTTCGTCTATGATTGAATTGCATTATGTCTGATAAAAGTCACTGATAAATAACATAAAAATATCTGAAGAAGAGACTATGGGGACTTGTACAAAAATACCCATCGTCAGATCATCAGTTGCTTTCAGTGCAAACTAAAAACAAAGTGTGCTTTGAAAACGCTGTTCCTCAGATGTTCAGGGCACTGGGTTCATCTCTGTTTGCTTTTGGCCATAAATTTCCTTCAGCACAAAGCAGCGAAAGCTTCAGCTATTAGCCATAAAATCAGCCTTATGGTCTCAGGCCAAGCGTCATGTAGTGCATTAGTGCATGTAAGCTCTACAGCAGCTCACCTGAAGGGCCCTCGGAAACACAAGTGACTGCATGTTCAGTTCCCTGTGTCTATATTCATCAGGTCGTGTGTGGTTTTCCATAGCGTGGCCTTTAGGCAGGGTGTTTGTGCACCTTTTCCATCAAATGCCTCTTGATTAGAACCCGCGGTCATTAAAAGCAGCTGGACGCTCCTAGTGGGAGCCGGATTGGGAGCAGTGGAGTATGAAATGCCGCTGTGTGCTTGTGTGTGCAGGTTCTGGAGTGGGCTCAGGAGAAGAGAAGACTGAGCGTACTCCATATTCACGGTGTTTACACAAACCCCAGCGGCATCGTACTGCATCCTGCTGGCTACCAGAACGTTCTGAGGAACACAGAAGTCATGGTGAGTGAATGTTTTCAGCTCTCAGGAGAAAAAAAAAAAAAAAAAGTCACACCACTGGAACGTTGATAATTCACCGGGGTGGAGGACACTGTGAACCAAAGCATTTTGGCCTGAAGAGATACTCCCTTTTGTGGTGGTTTTTATTGCTTATTGTCCAGTCCTTGAAATAATTTACCCAAATACAAACTGTTATGACAGCATTATATGAAGTTTATATGATGCTGATAAAAGCAGCATAACAGTTTATTATGTTATGATGGTCTGACATAACGCAGTTAAAAAATGCATTAAAAATATAATTCATACATTGAATACACCTCTTCTATGATAAGCATGTTATAATGTCTGAATTCATATTCAGTTTGATATGTTTTCGGGGTCATAAAGTCAAAAATGTCAGGATGATACTTAGGGATTAATTGAAATAAAATCTAAATTGCGATATGGCTCAGTGCGATTATCAAATTGGAATTGAATTAAGTAAATCCGCTGTGTTTTTCAAAGTGAAGCGTGGCACTGTGCTTATTAACGGCTCCCTGTGGTTTTCTGTCAAAATCAAAAGTTTGATGGTTTAATGTTTGAAAATGAAGAAATTAAGACTTTAAAAATATTACTTTTCTTAAATATTCTTTTTTTTGTTTTTTTTGTTATTGTTGTACATTTATTTAGTAGTTGTAGTAGCATTGAAAATAATAATTGAGATGATAAATAATAATATAATCAAATAATAATAAAATGTAAAATATATATGTATGTATTATTATTGTTTTTATATTATACATTCTTTTAGTCATACTGATAATCACAAAACTTTACAAATTGTGCAGCCCTACAAACAAGCACAGCGAACTTGGATTTTTTAAAATTGTGCTTTAAATCACAAGTGCGATTTTCAAAAAAATTAGAAACAAATTAACTTCTGCTTTGCCTATTAATATTTGAATAAATTTTGTTTACCAAATCAAAGTCATGTGGTGAGACTAACATGCAGAATAAAATAAATTATATCATAGAGACCCCTGCATGATTGTGTGTCGAGATTAATAATTAAACATTAATTAAACAAGATTAATTAAGTCTCTCAAAATATCAGATAATCTGACATTTAAGGCAAGGTTATTTCAATTGGCGCAACTCCCCCTAAAATTTATAATTCATGATGTATATAAAAAGTTTTTTGGGGGGAAAATACGTGTACATTTTATTTATTTATTTTTAATAAGATGAGTAGACTCACATGTATTCAAAGTGTACGTAAAATCATCATATCAGTCCTTAACGTCAGTTCTGTCATGACAACTCTCGGAGGGATTGGCATGGTAATGTACATGACAATGTTAATGTATTTGGTCTTGGCAGAATAGATCTGCTGCGGCAGAGCAAGTACCGAGACTTGCTACTGCCAATACATCCACAGACATGCCGCGGTAAGCATGTAAGAAATATTGCTGCTGCAAATATAACATACATGAAATAACCCCATAGCATACATGAATCACCTCGTAGCAGATCTATACAGGTGGAGCTGGGGAAGGTGGAGGGTTTCTGAAGCAAGCTGCAACTGCTACTGCAAGCACTAGTCATATATTTGAATGTTGAGCAGCGAGCTCATTGGCTACTGATACAGGAGAGAACCAATCAGCTGTGCCATGTGATAATGATGTCATTAAGTCAGATTGAGTTAGACCTATCGGAAACTCCATCTAGAGTTTCATGCCAGAACTCTGTATTTATTACATTGTTGCATGTTTTTGCAGAGGGAGATCCAGAAACTCTATGAAACCAAGTCTTTTGTGTTCCTGGGCTGTGGGAGGACAGTGGATGACACTACCTTCCAGGCCCTGTTTCTCGAGGCGGTCAAACACAAGTCTGACCTTGAGCATTTCATGCTGGTGCGGCGAGAGGATGTGGGCGAATTCAAGAAGCTCCGTGACAACATGCTAGACAAGGGCATTAAGGTCATCTCATACGGCAACGAATACGCCGACCTGCCGGAGTACTTCGAACGACTGGCCAATGAGATTTGCAACCGGGATGTGGATCGCGACGTGGTAACCAATGGCTGGGGTAAGTTGTCTTCACTTTTTAGATGCGTTACATAGAACTGATGTTTATTTTTTTTCACCGATTCATTTGCTGAATTAATTCAGGATCTCCCATCTCACAAGGCGAAGAAAGTCATAATGGCTTTACGACCCAGAAAAACCTCCTGCAAGGTTAGGACAGCTTTTGTGTTGGCACCTCAACCAGCTTGCATGCTAAAGGCAGTTTGGGCATATGACGATGCATTTTTTCCTTTTCCCTTCTTTCCTTCAGTGCATGCTTCTAGAACGATAGAAACATGAATACAGCACAAGGGCTTCTGTTGTTGTTTTATACTCCCCTTCCCACTGTACTCCTCTGCACCCGTGGCTTCCCGTGATGAAATCAGCTGATGCGCACTGTGTTGTAACGAGACCTTCATTGTAGCTCTTCCTCTTTCCCTGTCCAGACTACCACTCGTGACACAAGTGGCAGTCTGGAAACATTTCCACAGCTCCGCCGCCCCCTTCCGCTCGGATCTGGTATGACTAGATCTTCACGCACAGCAGACTCATTTCTCATACTTAAACCGAGCGCCGCCAGTACCGCTTCGCTTCACACGGGAAAGGCGTCAGTAAAAGCACCACCAAGCAAACTGTGAACTCCTGCAACTCGGAAAATGTTTATGAAACTCTTCATGTGAGTGAGGGAGATTTTTTTTTATGTGGTTTTAAGTGAAGTGTGGACCAAGAATGATGTTCAGGGAAGTCTGATCTTAAACGTGAGCTGTCAAATACCAAAACATTTGAACAGGACTGTTAGTAATGCAATCTCACTTCCCATTCTTCACATCAGTAAATGCACCAGCAATATTAAAATGGGGATTGTGTGAACCTCACAAAATGATCACGAAATGTCCATGTCATATTTCATCCCTAAATAAGTGTGTATATACTGTTAACTGTTAACATGGTTAATTTTGCATTGCACCATATTTTTATCACACTGCCCACCTTCAAATTCGGATTACCGTAATGTGAAAAATCCCTCATTAAATAAAAAATAGCATTTGCTGTAATAAATAATGTATTAAAATAATGATAAAAAAAAAATTGTAAGAAAAAAATTCAGAATTGTGAGATAAAAGGTTGCAATTACCTTTATTTTTATTCTGTGGCAGAAAGAAGCTTCCATATACAGTATTTTGAGAATTACAGTATACAGAAATGTGAGATGTAAACTCAGAATTCTAAGAAAAAAAGTCAGATTTGTTAAAAAAAATGTTGCAATTACCTTTTTAATTTTTTTTATTCAGTTGAGTCAGATTTGTTAAAAAAAATGTTGCAATTACCTTTTAAATATTTTTAATTCTGTTGTGGAAACAAGCTTCAATATACAGTACACACATTTTTATTGGTTGAAATATGACTCAGGACATTTCTTTTATTACTTAATCTGTCCTGTAAGGAGGAGGAAATGCAATAAATGCCTCGTCAGAGTGACTGAGGTGTGACTCAAAATTCGTGTGATTTCTCAGGCTTTACTTATAGAAGCATCTCAGCTTCCATGAATCTACTTGAACTTGTCACGAGACTAATGAGGATAATGATATAATGCCATAATTCCTCTCAAGCCACACAACTTTCAATACATTTTATTGCACTTTGTCAGTTAGTCCCCATTTATAGTCGTAAATGCTTGGTCAGTAATGCTCAAAAAAGACATGTAAACAGTTGTTTATAAACCTTTTGTATTTTATCATCTCTGTCCACAAATGTCTTTTAGGTATTTATATGCTATTTTAAAATAAAGCATCTGTTTGGTACCAAATGTGTTGTTGTTGTTGTTAATGAAAGCACATAAATGCAGTGAATGTGTTTTCAAGAATTACATCTACACACCTTATGTTTAACTTGCGTGCAAGAGCGGCCATTTGTAACTTGTATGTACGAAACTTCCGGTGTCACCTGCTTCCATTTACTTTAGCTGTACAAAAACAATCCGTTATGCTGCTTGATAAAGCAAACTGGTATTTGTTATATTATTTTAATTCATTATCGTAATCATAAACACTGGTTTGTGGACTTCTGGTTATTTATCTATAGAGGCTAATCAATCGCAGTCTCATACATTGAAAGAAAATAGCTTACTTTGCAAAATAAGGTGGATTGATCAGCATCTACATACTAAACAAAACTTTTATTTTTGTTTTGTTTTTTTCTTTTATTAAAGGGTTAGTTCACCCAAAAATCTGTCATGAATTACTTACCCTCATGTCCTTCCAAACATGTAAGACCTTCATTCATCTTCGGAACACAAATTAAGATATTTTTGATATACCTCTGCATAGACCCTGCATAGACAGCAACACAACTAAAATGTTCCCAGACCCAGAAACGTGGACATCAATAATACAGTCCATGTGACATCAGTGGCTCAACTTCAGTTTTGCTTAGCTCCGAGAATACTTTTTGTGTTCAAAGAAAACAAAAACAATATAATTTATTCAACAATTCTTCTCTCGGAGTTAACGTTTTCTGCCATTTTGGAGAGTACCACGAGCCACGACGCATGCGCGCGCTTTCTACTGAACGTAAACGCATGCGCCAGGTTCCGAAGATGAACGAAGTCTTACGGGTTTGGAACGACATAAGAATGAGTAATGACATAATTTTTTATTTTTGGGTGAACTAAGAATCCTTTCCTTTAAAGGGGTCATTTGATGCTTTTTTAAAGATCATTATTTTCTAACTGCGGTTACTGACACCATGCCTTCTTTCTTTGCGTGCACATTTGCGGCGGGATTATGCAAATATTTCCACATAGTGGGGTAGATATGTGGGGGCGTGTTAGAATGAGCCGTTTTAGGGGGGCGTGGCAGAGTCTTAACTTTGATAAAGAATATCTCTTTGGTTTTGAGACTTTAGTCTTTGCAACTTCAGGGATCTTATCTATGCACAATCAGCTTGTAACACTCCAAAGAGAAAGGAAAACTTGAAATCGCATCATATGACCCCTTTAAGATAGGACCGCATGTAGACAAGAAGCGAAGTGGGAAAGAGATGGGGGATGAAATCGGCAAAGGTCCGCGACGGCGCGCTGTTGTGCAGGATATTAGCGCCAACTACACCAACACTTTTGTGTGAAAACGTTGACTGTACGTCGTCATAAACATCCAGTCAGTGAGTCAGCTGTTACTGTAGCTCAGTAATACCCTGCTGAATTTGGTGACTGTACCGATTTAAACCGATAACTCACGGGCTTGTAATTCTTTTTGACCGATTCATAAGAACCAGCCTATAAAAGTCATAATTTTAGAGAATCAGACCACACCAATCATGAGGTAAGTTTGTTTTTGGAATGCAACAGACATGCCTATTTGTATTATTTCTGTAGAAATGATACACAGAGTGTTAATTCTATGGAAGTATGTTTCACCACAGAATTAGCTTCTGACCTTTTAAATCGCAATTCTGAGTTTATATCTCACTATTCTAACTTTTTTTCCCCTGCAGCTGAGAATATGTAGGATATAAATATAAACTTGCTATTCTGAGAAGAAACTGAATTGTGAACAACTGCAAGGAAGTTAAAATTTAAGCAAAATTCGTAATGAACTCATTTATTATTTTGATTCCACGGCAGGAAGTGAGATTGTAACTTGGAATTGTGAGAAAAAGTCAGAATTCTTGAGTTTATATCTTGTAATTCTGAATCTAAAAAAGAAACGAAGTCTGAATTGAGATATAAACTGATTATTTTTTTCCTGTGGCAGAAAAACAGGCTTCAGGAAACAAGAAATTACACACTACTAAGTTCCAAACATGACACATTATTACAAGCTATTATAGCAGCTTTATTTAAGAAATATTACACATTCTCAAAGTACAACAAATCTTCTCTATGAAGCTCTCCAGTCTTGCCATTGTGCTAGCGCAAATTAACACGAGGTGAAGGAGAATTAAGACCCGACTTTGTTCTAAAATAAAAGGATGAAGGGATCTGAAAGAAAAGAAAATGGCAGTAGTCACTAATGAATTAAAACAAAAATTAAACATTTTGTAGGGCTTCAGATAGTTTGGTATACACAGCATTTTAGAACTTTCTGCTGAGGCGCCTTCAAACCTCAAGCACCAAACCTTACAATACCTTTTAATGCCTTTCATATCCAGAGACATGAAAAGCCTGAGTATAAAAGGAAGAATGAGAAAAGGCAGCGTTTGTACAGAATAGTTTTGAGATCAATGGCTAAAGTAATGAGCTGAGGCACTATGGTAGTGATTTCATGAGACAGTTTGGGTTGTGGGCATCATCTGAATGTACCTACATTAATCAAATAAAAAGTAGACAAAATACATTTAGAATATATTATCTCTCATAACATTGGAATAACACCTCAGTCCATCTTTTTTGGTGGGCAGAAAGAACACTTGATCGTAAAGAACAGATGCAGAAAAATGCAAAAATACTTCTCATTATCTCATTATTTAAATGAAAACCAAAGCACTGCTGTCTGATTGGCTGTGTTGCATGTCAATCAAAAATGGTTGCCGAGGTGAGATCAAGTCAAATGATATTCCTTCCACTCATTAAACTGAAACACTTTTTTTCCTGGAACAAAACACGAGGATCCTAAATATGAACTGAATTTCAGTTAAACCTGTAGGAAAGCAAAAAAAACACCTATCACTTCAACACGTAGGCAATGTCTGCATTCACAGGAAGCTGAGAGGGTCACAGGGTCTCATATCTAGCTGTAGCTGAACCGTGAGAGTCGCTGGAGCAGCAGAGGCAGGTCTTGTATCTCAGGCCTTCATGAGTGCGCTGACCACAGCCCTGGCGTTGAGGCTGCGCAGGTCACTGTACGTCTGTCCGGTGCCCACAAACACGATGGGCTGACCTGTGATGTAGGTCATGGAGATAGCAGCACCCACCTACAGGAAATGGTCTGGAGTTATATTTAACCAAGATCCATTTCACAAGAACATGCCATGAAAAAAAAGGGTTCTGGTCATACCTTATCATCAATGGTGTCAAACTTGGTGAGAACGATGCCGTCGATGAGCCTGGGTTTGTCAGTCTTGGAATGATCAGCCAGTGCTTGATTAAATTTAACCTAAAACAAAGCAAAAAACACTCAGTACTTAATGACCTGGGAATTTTTGAGAAGCTCAGGACTGCGTTTCAGATATCAGATACCCACATGTAATAGAAACGGAACAAGTGATTGAGTGGTAACCATCATGGATATCCTGTGCAGCACAGATATTGATTATAATTGGCTGAATTATCCCGCGTTACCTTTTCCTTGGGTATGTTTGATTTTAAAGGGGTCATATGATGCGATTTCAAGTTTTCCTTTCTCTTTGGAGTGTTACAAGCTCTTGGTGCATAAAGAAGATCTGTAAAGTTGCAAAGACTAAAGTCTCAAATCCAAAGAGATATTCTTTATAAAAGTTAAGAGTCAGCCACGCCTACCTAAAACGGCTCGTTCTAACACGCCCCCACATATCTACATCACTATGTGGAAATAACTTATAAAGATTAAGAACACTGCAATTTTGGTCTTCCAAAAGAGGACGATATCTGCTTCGTCATGTCTGGAGCTGATCCGTGCAGGTCGCTGAGGAAATACTTCAGCTTCGCTCTGTCGATCTTCAGATCGGCTTTCACCGTGGACGAAGAGGAGTCCAGCCCGGGGTCGTCACATGTGGTTGCTGCAGGCATCACAATATGGTAAGGGACGTAACATTTCCGTCACACGCTTGAAGATATAAATTATTTATTTATGTGAATAAAGCAGCACTCATATTCTATAACTAGGCCTATTGTCAGATGAAGGACCCAGTTATAGAGGTTCCAAATGGGGATTTTCCCAATAATAGGTTTCCATACAAAGTTGCGAATTTAACTTATGCGCAAAACTAGAATATCGCATAAAACATTTGCAAGCAAGCATCGTTTCCATCCAACGAGTCAAAGAGAACAAAATCGTCACTTCCTGATAAGCTGACACTAAATAACTAAGAAAAATAGGAGAATATAATAATTTTCATATATAATAAATTACTTG